CATTTCATGAGTACAGTTGAGTGCATTCCAAAGTCCTCAGAGGAAGCGGATGCCCGGGATATCCTTTGTCAGACGTTCAGTGAGTCGCTTGTTTGGAGCGTTATCTCTCCCCATAATTCAGTTCAAATCAACGCCTTTTAATGAGTCAACAACGACAAACCATGGGCAAAAAATGTTTCCTTATTTTTAGTCAGATTTCTGTTACCAGGCTGGAGTACGAATTTAATAAGTAAATGCTGCTATCTGAAGTGTATGGACAGTGCAAACTGTTAATACGTCCATCCATGTCAAGCAACGAATGACTTCTCCACTACCAGATTTCATGGCGCACTGTACCTTTCCCTTACTGCTAGGTTCCCGTTGGAGATGGCGAGGGTTGGGGGGGGGGGCACTTGAGCAAACCACAGCTCCATGGTATTTAAGCACCGGCATTGTCAGACGCACATCGAATTATGTTGTTCGCTGGAGCCACCTCATACTCATTACAGACGGTTTCAGCTGCCAGTACTCCTTATATGCTTTTGCGTAATCGGGCGCATGAGCAGCTTATTTTGTTTACGCAGTTGTGTGTAAAGACTAGCAACTCCTGATATACGGTAAGTCTTGAGCATGAGGTGGTTGCAGCGGGCAAAATGATGCCTCATAAATCTGGAACTGCAGATACTCAAATACCATGAAGCCACGGCCTGATGAAATGGCCCCTTATGCAATTAAGTGCAAGTTGTGCGATACGCCGTAAAATCTGGTCTTGCAAGAGGCATTCGTTATTATCTATTATGCTTATGTATTTTCTGTTATACCTTAATAATTTACATTTACTATAGCTGTTCAAGTTTTGATATTTAAAGCAAGAGACACCTGTACTAATTGATATTACTGTATGATTCTGTGGAATATCTCATTCTTTACTTGGCGAACTTGTAGCATTATGCTTTAGTGGGCTATCCACATAAATATAGCGAATTTCGAGGCAATGTCTCAAGTTCCCTATCAGCGTATTTTTCTTCTGATCAGATTAACGTTGGAAGATATGGCGGTTGTCAGATCTCGGTTACCACTACCTGTTTTGGGATTCATTATTGCTGCACAGTCTAAACAAAATAGCCTTTAGAATTCTCATTCGCCCTAAAAATGAGCCTACCTCCTGTCCACTTCAGCATTCATTCCAAAGAGCAATACTACAGGTTTATTTCAGGTTCATACTAATCATGCTTGTCATGTTCGCCGACACTGATCCTTAATGGCATACTGAGCAAAATTTAAATCCCATTAAACTAGTGTTCTAGTAACTTTTCAGTTACTAACTTCCTCAACTTTAAATTGCACCTCACACTTCAATTACTACTCTCATTAACACTCAGGTCACCCTCAAATTCACGTTTCTCTGCTTGACGAGTGATGACGTTTACGTACCTTATTTTGAGAACAGCGTCTCTACTATTGGTCTGTTTCACCAACTGATGTACATGGTAGTACTATACACATAGACCTGTTTGCAAACGTTTTTCCATTGCATAGGCCATTTTGAAGGCATTAAGTCATTTTTTAGAGTACTGTATGAAGCCTACGTAAATAATAATTACGCAAAATATTATAATCACAAATATGACAACTGACTCCACTATTTACGCCTGGTCGATGCGCCTTTAGACTCTGTTATATGACTAAGCTTGGTTGAGAATAGAAATGCCACGATGAATCTTTGGAGGGCTATATTAATTGTGTGCCACTGACTAAAGACATCTGATCGATGATTGCCTACATAATTACTATCTGTTTGGGTCACTCATGGACAAACTGCACCTGTAGAATTTGATCACTTAAAATTACGTCATACCTCATTCAAGCAATATCTCCCAAATTGCTGTCAAGCATTTTTGGCCCGGTGGAAACGGTCAGATGTATCCTATGTACTTCCAGAAAGACTACATGTAAGAAACGTATGATTTCCATGGTTTGGTGAACGGAACAGTCGTTGTGACCATGCTTAAAAATGTAACCATCAGAAGTGACCCTAATTCACGATTAGTCTTTGCAAGGATCCCCTCCGCCTATGTATCACATGGATTGTCGCCTATTCTCTTTTCCATACCTCCTTTGAGTGAAGATCTTCTTACTGGTCACTTGCAATCCCTCAGATCCCAATTCCAAATTAATAGATACTCTATTTGGCTATTTCCTGTTCGATGATTTATGATGTATTGGAAATGGACGGAGCAACGGAAAGTTTGTAACCGTCGGAAAGTTTGCCTTCCTTGCATTTTAATGATGGGGTCATCTGGAAAGCGCATCAATTTATGAAGTTGATGGTAGGGCGTTTATCTTCACCGCCCTGCCATCAGCTATGAGTACGTTATTTTAAAGGAGAGTCTGCAGCAGTTCTGTGGCTAGCATAGTACATCGACTGCTGTTTCTTCCCCAGGACCCGGCAGTTTTCAGTCAGACGTTCGACCGACTGCGGTCTTAAATGTATGGGCCAAAATTCAAGATCCAGGACTGCGTAAAGTTTAGGCACTTGTTTCGATTGCACCCATGGTAAAGCGCACTTCGTGCGTTATGTCGTACGGACCTTCAGCTGAAGTGCAGTGCGTGCATCCCGGTTCTTGACGTCTCCCATTCCTTCAACTAAGTGGCTGCCTCAAAGCATTGATCGTCGTGTTGTCGAACGTAAAAGGAAGAATTTCAAGGACTTTTCGAGAACGCAAACTGCCGCAGTCTTATTTGCTGCTGCATCCCCTAATTTAGACTGCATTTGCTGTGTTGTCGTTCTTTCACTGATGACTAGAGTAAGTGAGGTTTGTTTCATATGAAATAACTTTCCAAAATTAGATAGGACCGTATTGCCTGGTTGCCCTACCTTTGGAGAGG